CGGATACACGCTAGGCTAACGCGTTAGCAACGGTTAGCCGCGGCTAATTTAGCATCGATAATTTCATTAAAATACATATTTAACATCCGTATTTTCTCATGCAACTCACCAAGGGTATCATATAAGAGGCCAATGCTCTTGGGGGGAAAGTAGAAAAGTCGGTCAATCTAAGTGAAAGTTGTTAAAATAACTACAATTAAAATCTATAGAGCTAATTGCTGCTGAGTCATTATCCCAAAAGGATAAACAGCCCATCTCACTTCCTGTTAGACAGCAGACACGGGGCGGGTCTAACTTTGATTGGCTTAGCCTTGCTTTACACACCACTTTAGATGGACAGGGGATTTATCTAATCACACTCATTTAAATGTTTTCATGAAGAATTGTCTAAATCATTTTGTCCTAAATTGCATTTGTGTATCTATATTGTTTCTATTTTAGTTTCAAATAATTTATATTATTTGTGTAATGTAGTGCTAAGCATTAAAATAAAGTTGACATTTTAGTCAATGTTATTATCCAGTGTCTTAGTAACCGAGGGGTTACATGTACTTTAATTATTATTATATATTATCATTATGTCAGTGGTTCTAAAATGGTCTTACAACAGTGCCGACAATATTATCGTTTATCGCAATAACTTCCAGGAAAATGTATCGTCCAACAAAATTAATTATCGTGACAGGCCTAGGTACAATAACACAGCAATACAGATGTTTTATCTTAAATAATTGTCCCAGGTTGAGGGTCTCTGCTTAAAAATATACATATAGTCTGTCCCACGTGCACATAGGTTAATTGGGCCTATAAACAATAGTGACATGTCACAATAACATATTACCATATTTACATCAGTCATTTCACATGGAAAGTGTTTATACTTACAATAAACAATTGTCCCTCTCGCCGAAGGGCCTTCACCTCCTCATCATCATCATTTAAGGAACCTGCCGCCAGCTCTTCCACCCCGAGCAGCTGATCACCGGTAAGGAGGACGCAGCCAACAACTACGCCCCACCTACGCCAACCTCAACAGGCTGATTGGACAGATCGTCTCCTCCATCACCGCCTACAGCATACAGACATAAATAAACCAGCGACTGTATTCGCCATGACACAGACAGTCTGTGGTTTTGTACTTGTTTAACTTTTGTCCAGTTTCTGAACAGATATGAGGAGCTGTGAGCTCTGTGTGCTAACTGCTAACAGCTAACGGCTTGATGTTTTCTGGTTGAACGTCAGTGACGGCAGGCTGAGATCCTCACCGCTGATTGGCTTCCGCGAGAACGCGTCACGTGAATTTGACGCTCGAGTTGAAAAAATTTGAACTCTCGCGTTTGACGCGGCACCGTTCAATCGCCTCAATCGCGCCGCGTCCACCGCTTCATGCTCGCCGTCGGAGCGAATTCGCGTCTGTCCGCGTCTCTGACGTCCACCCCCCAATTCAAACATGTTCATACAATACTGAATACATTTGAAGCCATTTTGACGTATATTACCCATGTCAATAAGTTTCTGTTTTTGTAGTGTATTTGTCTGTTGTAGAGATTTTTCATTTATATATAAAATCTCGCCTAGGGCAACAAATTGGCTAGAACTGGCCTTGGTACTAGGCCTCAAGAGCCTTTCTTGTGCTGGCAGGACACATAGAAACAAATTGACGGGGCGCACTTCGCACGTGCACACAAAAAAAAATCCACGCGCTCCGCGCTCACATTATGCTGGGCCCACGTGCCTTAGCACCGCTGCTATGACTCCATCCTAGGGGAAACACTGCTTCTAACATAAAGATACCTTCGAGTCATATATTGAGGGACTGCTTTAATTAAATAACATGTTCATTTTTGAAACGAAAAGACGAATTGGGATAGTCCAGCCAAAACAACAGTCAATGTAACACTACAATCAGGGTTCCTGCAGGTTTCGCCAACTCAAATTTAAGACTTTTTAAGACCACTTTGAATAGAATTTAAGACCTATTTCACGGCAAGAAAGTATGAAGGAAAATTGCTATGGAAGAAGAAATACGTCCCATAATTACTTACTAAGTAAATTAATGTTCAACATAAGAACAATGACTGAACATAACAGCACAGAACTGTGTTAGACAAAAAGTGTGTGTGTGTGTGTGTGTGTGTGTGTGTGTGTGTGTGTGTGTGTGTGTGTGAGTGTGTGAGACAAGAACTATATTCAGAGCTCTGCTGCCTTGGCTACAATCTTTCATTGTTGCTGTTGTATGATTGGTGTTTAACTACGGTATTTAGGGTTGACGTCGCCCGGAGGGTCCCCCGGTGTTGTTGGCTGCACTAGCTAACGCTCCACTAACTAATGCTACATTAGCAAAACAAACGCTAATCTTTTTTGCAAAAGGTGCAGCGGGCTTCAAAAGCGTTCCCCTCCACTGGTTTCAACCAAGCACTAAATTCGATGTTTTCCAACCAAATACGGTTGAACTTACACTTCCCCATATTTATTTGTAAGTAGATTGGAAGATACATGAGTTTCTGACTGCCGCTAGCTGAAGCTTGGTTGCTAGGTTACTAGCTGGGTGTTCTCCGATAAGGGGCCGGGGGAAACAAAGTTAGTGATTACTGGTTCGATGATTTATTTCAATACAAATTGTTGGGTGGAACTGAAAGGCTATTACCGTACTGGTTACTTTGCAGCCCGGACATTTCCCCCAAAACACATTTAACGCTATCGCAACACAGAAGTACCTTTCAAATCCGATCATTTTTAAGACCTTCTAAATCATATTTAAGACCTTTCTATTTTTTTGGTCATAATTTAAGACCTTTTTATGGCCTTAAATTCAGATGATCAAATGTAAGACTTTTTAAGACTTGTTAAGACCCCGCGGGAACCCTGTACAATAGTTGAACATAACAATAGAATCACAATCAAACACTTGAGACTTGAACAACAAATACTTACCATCCTGTTCAAAGGACCCCGTGGCCTGCAGCACCTCAATGAGCTGCAGGGCCTCCTCCAGCTTCGTATTGAGGACTTTATTAACCTCCTTTTCTCTGGCGGCCTTCTGTTGGAAAACACGCCGCAGCCTCACCTGTCGCACCAGGAAGTCCAAGCAGCGCCACAAGACCCGGACGCCGTGGGAGTTGAGGTCCCTGCGCGGGAGGGCTTCATCCAGGATTGAATACTGCAAATGAAAAATAACAAATGTACATCTAAATCATAAAACAACATGAACAAGCATTTAGCTTAGTGAATCTTGGGATAATGCACATGCTGCATTTATTGCAGATACGGCACTTCAAACCCAAGTTCTGGAATGTGAGCAAAAGGTTTGAATTGTATCAATATGGCAGCCTGTCTTTGGCCCAGGTATGAATTAAGTAATTTATTAATCAATTCATTGCTGTAAGGAATAATGCAAAACACTTTTACCAGGTACAATTAGGCCTGTCGCGATAATCGATAAATTGACTTATCGTACGATAAATAAAAATGGACTCGATAACTATTCTGAGCTCGATAAATTGCCGTTTACATAGGATGTGACCAGCATTTTAGCTAGGAGCGCTGTGGCTGCCGACCAGGCGCGCTGTGAGGGACGGGGCTGACACACAGCCAGGTCAGGACACTCCGCCGTGCGCGTGCAGTGCAGCAGCCAAATTAATAATATAGCGACAAGCGGGAGACAACGTGTGACTTACTCGCGGGGAATTTAAAGCGAAATGGAATTGGTTACAAAACCTAACTACACATCTCGATTCTCCGGTGGCAGTATTTTTGGATTCAAGCCAAATCAACGAGGCGAACCTACGGACTTGAATGAGCCGGGCGGTGTGTCGCATTTGTTTAAAAAAGGTAGCAACAAAAGCAGGCAATACCACGCATTTTAAACTACACCTAAAACACAACCACCCCATTCCGTTTTCCCAGCTGGTAGCAAACACGGCAGCTGGAGATGGAGAGCCCCCACCTTCCCGACAGTTTACAATCAAAGATGCATTTGCCCGACAATGCAAACATGTTGGTGTTCCTTGCTCGAAAACTTTGAAAAACAGATTTGGATATGGCCTGTTGAGGCATCTGGGTCTTGTATGGACAGTGGACTGTACACTTGACTGTTGTTTTAAGGAGGTTTTTTTTTGCTTGTGAGACAATGTGTGCTCATATTTATATATATATATATTATATATTATATATATATATATATATATATATATATATATATATATATATATATATATATATATATATATAGATAGATAGAGAGCTCTGTTTTCCAGCCTGAGTCTATTTAATTGATTGTTTTGGTTGTGTGTGATTTAATTAATTTATTATAATTTAATTAATTTGTTTTATTTATTATATATCATTTATATATTTTAATATTATTTCACATTTCATTTGCAATGTTGAATGTTCAATAAAAAGTTATGTTTGAAAGGATGTATGGTAACACATGCACCAAATATGAATGCTGAGCACAGAATTATTTATACGAATCAGTTCGATCAACTCTCCTAATATAAATGTAGAAATTTCAGTGTGGACCAGCACATCAGAAGTCTAGGTTGCTCAGGAGAAAATGGATACTGTGCAACAAAGGTGAAAAGACACAAGCAGACGTTGTTTGGAAAAGGTACAGAAAGCTATAATATTTATTCCCTTTCTTTCAGATAAACATTTTAAAGACATATATATATTCAGTTACCTTGAATTTGAGAGTATCCTGGTTTTAATTATTGTACCTATTTATTTTATAACTATTTTGGCATCATTTAGTGTTGTTACTTCTGTTTTAATTATCCCTATTTAATATAAACTAATGGTTTTATTTAAATGTAGTAGCTAAGCTATATATTCTAATTTTGGGAACCAGGACTCTGTATTTGAAATGTTATTTCAGATTCTTAAATAAAATGAAAGAAAACTTATCACATTACTTCTATACACATATAGTTATAACATATTCAACATAGTATCACACAATCAATAATCAATCAGTTCTTGGCTCTCAACTTGTGAAGAGGAAAAGATACACAAGTTCTTGTCCTACTATCGTGGTGGGTAACTGTAATAGTTCTCTTCTTTTAGATAGGTCGATGGGTAGCTCGCCAGACTGAAATTCGCCACAGTACACCAGCAGAGATGAGGGCAGCGTTCCAGTCAAAGAATCCAGAAAATCTCCTTCACATCACACAAAAAAAGACCCGACCTGTAGGGATGGGTACCGAGCCCCGGTATTAAACGGGCCCCGGGGCTGAATTATTAAAGACCGTGGTACCGTTAAGCTCCGACGTTATCGGTCTTTTTATCGGTACTGGAGACATCTAAAAAATATGTCATGTGTATTATTGCTACACAAACATTATATTGCAGTTTTAGTGTCGCCAACTCCGTTTCTAATACGCAAAAAGACTGCAAAATGCGTCATTTTTAGTATTTTCGATCTCTCCAATCCAGACGAGAGATCTCTCTCCCCCGCCTGCTTGCGAGGGGGCGGGGCAGTTTACACACACGCAGCTGCTACATGCAGCAACACACACACACACACACACGGAGGAGATGGCGGAGAGAACGCGCTCCGAGGTGTGGTTAAACTTTACCCGTCTCGCTCGTTGCCTAAAGTGCAATAAGAGTTTAGCATGTCAGGGCGGTAACACGAGCAATTTGTCTAAACATCTTGCAAAAGTGCACCACGTTCAGACGGAGAAATGCACCGGGTTCGACTGTCTCTCTAGTAGCTCTGTAGCCCCATCCACGAGTAACGTTTCCACGTCAGGTGTTATGTATGCTAGCAGCAACACACGGAGCTAACTCAATGATTCAAACATGGGTTTATGATTAGAGGGAACTGAGTTATTTAGTTTGTTAAAGTTTCAGCCATTCTGTTCACAGTTCTGTCATCAGATTATTTAATATGATTTGTTAAAACGTTGTTGTTTCTGTTGATGTGAAATATTATGTATTTCATTTAAATAAAAAGCAATGTTAGTTTTGTTCACAATTTGTTAATTTTCATTTAATTGTTTATTGAATAGGGACAATGCACATTAATGAACACTTTAGACAAATAATGCTTCAAGTAGGGTGACCAGGTGCCAGAAAGCCACAAGTGGGACAGAGAGTATGTTTGTGTGGGACAATGTGGGACATGTAAATGTAATGTTGACGCATGAACTGTCAACGGGGGGGGTACACTGTGGACCCTCTGTCGGCCTGTCAGCGCAACTTACATAATGCCGTTTAAAACATATCATAATGGGCGGTGCCGGGCCGTCAGCGAACCGAAGCCGGCCTTTCTCCGCAGAAAAGCGTTTTGGCCAATCAAAATGAAATATGCGGGACATCGTCTCAATTTGCGGGACGCACCAAAAGTCGTGAAAATGCTTGTGCAGTCCCGCGCAAAGCGGGACATCTGGTCACCCTAGCTTCAAGTGTAAATATGCCGGATTTTAGCTTTGAGCTAATTTCCATCCGTCGTCCCTGACATACAACATATAGTTAGTTTACCTCATTTTTCTCTCCAAAAGAACCGATAAGAGTACCGTTAAAAGACCGGACCGATAAGCGGTATCGATAAAAAGTAGTAGTACCGTTAAAACCTTAACGATACCCATCCCTACCGACCTGACAACAAGGCCAAGAGTCAAATGAATGCTTATACAATGGTTTTAAATGCAAATTGAAACAGCACTTCTCTGTTTATTAATCAAATCAACAAAATACACTGCACATGTTCCTAAAATCCTATTAAACAAACTATTCTAAATACAACAATTATCAGTCAGCTTATTTAACAACATCTGTCACACATGTTATTATTTTAACAAAGTGTACTAAAACTCATTTTCGGCCAACCTATAACCAGCCACAGTTAGCTCAACTTTGCTCATATTCCACAACAATTAACAGACTAAGCTGTGGTCAATGCCCCTTCAATGTGCCACCAACTGGCGGCAAAGCAACGTGAAGACCACCGCCAAAACCACAGACAATAGAGCGGTGCAGTGACTTCACATCCCTCCGCCCCGCACACATTGAAGCAACACGGATACACGCTAGGCTAACGCGTTAGCAACGGTTAGCCGCGGCTAATTTAGCATCGATAATTTCATTAAAATACATATTAACATCCGTATTTTCTCATGCAACTCACCAAGGGTATCATATAAGAGGCAATGCTCTTGGGGGAAAGTAGAAAAGTCGGTCAATCTAAATGAAAAGTTGTTAAAATAACTACAATTAAAATCTATAGAGCTAATGCTGCTGAGTCATTATCCCAAAAGGATAAACAGCCATCTCACTTCCTGTTAGACAGCAGACACGGGGCGGGTCTAAACTTTGATTGGCTTAGCCTTGCTTTACAACCACTTTAGATGGACAGGGGATTTATCTAATCACACTCATTTAAATGTTTCATGAAGAATTGTCTAAATCATTTTGTCCTAAATTGCATATTGTGTATCTATATTGTTTCTATTTTAGTTTCAAATAATTTATATTATTTGTGTATGTAGTGCTAAGCATTAAAATAAAGTTGACATTTTAGTCAATGTTATTTCTCAGTGTCTTAGTAACCGGGGGTTACATGTACTTTAATTATTATTATATATTATCATTATGTCAGTGGTCTAAAATGGTCTTACAACAGTGCCGACAATATTATCGTTTATCGCAATAACTTCCAGGAAAATGTATCGTCCAACAAAATTAATTATCGTGACAGGCCTAGGTACAATAACACAGCAATACAGATGTTTTATCTTAAATAATTGTCCCAGGTTGAGGGTCTCTGCTTAAAATATACATATAGTCTGTCCCACGTGCACATAGGTTAAATTGGGCCTATAAACAATAGTGACATGTCACAATAACATATTACAATATTTACATCAGTCATTTCACATGGAAAGTGTTATACTTACAATAAACAATTGTCCCTCTCGCCGAAGGGCCTTCACCTCCTCATCATCATCATTTAAGGAACCTGCCGCCAGCTCTTCCACCCCGAGCAGCTGATCACCGGTAAGGAGGACGCAGCCAACAACTACGCCCCACCTACGCCAACCTCAACAGGCTGATTGGACAGATCGTCTCCTCCATCACCGCCTACAGCATACAGACATAAATAAACCAGCGACTGTATTCGCCATGACACAGACAGTCTGTGGTTTGTACTTGTTTAACTTTTGTCCAGTTTCTGAACAGATATGAGGAGCTGTGAGCTCTGTGTGCTAACTGCTAACAGCTAACGGCTGATGTTTTCTGGTTGAACGTCAGTGACGGCAGGCTGAGATCCTCACCGCTGATTGGCTTCCGCGAGAACGCGTCACGTGAATTTGACGCTCGAGTTGAAAAAATTGAACTCTCGCGTTTGACGCGGCACCGTTCAATCGCCTCAATCGCGCCGCGTCCACCGCTTCATGCTCGCCGTCGGAGCGAATTCGCGTCTGTCCGCGTCTCTGACGTCCACCCCCCAATTCAAACATGTTCATACAATACTGAATACATTTGAAGCCATTTTGACGTATATTACCCATGTCAATAAGTTTCTGTTTTTGTAGTGTATTTGTCTGTTGTAGAGATTTTTCATTTATATATAAAATCTCGCCTAGGGCAACAAATTGGCTAGAACTGGCCTTGGTACTAGGCCTCAAGAGCCTTTCTTGTGCTGGCAGACACATAGAAACAAATTGACGGGGCGCACTTCGCACGTGCACACAAAAAAAAATCCACGCGCTCCGCGCTCACATTATGCTGGGCCCACGTGCCTTAGCACCGCTGCTATGACTCCATCCTAGGGGAAACACTGCTTCTAACATAAGATACCTTCGAGTCATATATTGAGGACTGCTTTAATTAAATAACATGTTAATTTTTGAAAACGAAAAGACGATTGGGATAGTCCAGCCAAAACAACAGTCAATGTAACACTACAATCAGGGTTCCTGCAGGTTTCGCCAACTCAAATTAAGACTTTTTAAGACCACTTTGAATAGAATTTAAGACCTATTTCACGGCAAGAAAGTATGAAGGAAAATTGCTATGGAAGAAGAAATACGTCCCATAATTACTTACTAAGTAAATTAATGTTCAACATAAGAACAATGACTGAACATAACAGCACAGAACTGTGTTAGACAAAAAGTGTGTGTGTGTGGTGTGTGTGTGTGTGTGTGTGTGGTGTGGAGTGAGTGAGACAAGAACTATATTCAGAGCTCTGCTGCCTTGGCTACAATCTTTCATTGTTGCTGTTGTATGATTGGTGTTTAACTACGGTATTTAGGGTTGACGTCGCCCGGAGGTCCCCCGGTGTTGTTGCTGCACTAGCTAACGCTGCACTAACTAATGCTACATTAGCAAAACAAACGCTAATCTTTTTTGCAAAAGGATCAGCGGGCTTCAAAAGCGTTCCCCTCCACTGGTTTCAACCAAGCACTAAATTCGATGTTTTCCAACCAAATATGGTTGAACTTACACTTCCCCATATTTATTTGTAAGTAGATTGGAAGATACATGAGTTTCTGACTGCCGCTAGCTGAAGCTTGGTTGCTTGGTTGCTAGGTTACTAGCTGGGTGTTCTCCGATAAGGGGCCGGGGGAAACAAAGTTAGTGATTACTGGTTCGATGTTGATTTATTTCAATACAAATTGTTGGGTGGAACTGAAAGGCTATTACCGTACTGGTTACTTTGCAGCCCGGACATTTCCCCCAAAACACATTTAACGCTATCGCAACACAGAAGTACCTTTCAAATCCGATCATTTTTAAGACCTTCTAAATCATATTTAAGACCTTTCTTATTTTTTTGGTCATATTTAAGACCTTTTTATGGCCTTAAATTCAGATGATCAAATGTAAGACTTTTTAAGACTTGTTAAGACCCCGCGGGAACCCTGTACAATAGTTGAACATAACAATAGAATCACAATCAAACACTTGAGACTTGAACAACAAATACTTACCATCCTGTTCAAAGGACCCCGTGGCCTGCAGCACCTCAATGAGCTGCAGGGCCTCCTCCAGCTTCGTATTGAGGACTTTATTAACCTCCTTTTCTCTGGCGGCCTTCTGTTGGAAAACACGCCGCAGCCTCACCTGTCGCACCAGGAAGTCCAAGCAGCGCCACAAGACCCGGACGCCGTGGGAGTTGAGGGTCCCGGCGCGGGAGGGCTTCATCCAGGATTGAATACTGCAAATGAAAAATAACAAATGTACATCTAAATCATAAAACAACATGAACAAGCATTTAGCTTAGTGAATCTTGGGATAATGCACATGCTGCATTTATTGCAGATACGGCACTTCAAACCCAAGTTCTGGAAATGTGAGCAAAAGGTTTGAATTGTATCAATATGGCAGCCTGTCTTGGCCCAGGTATGAATTAAGTAATTTATTAATCAATTCATTGCTGTAAGGAATAATGCAAAACACTTTTACCAGGTACAATTAGGCCTGTCGCGATAATCGATAAATTGACTTATCGTACGATAAATAAAAATGGACTCGATAACTATTCTGAGCTCGATAAATTGCCGTTTACATAAGGATGTGACTAGCATTTTAGCTAGGAGCGCTGTGGCTGCCGGCCAGGCGCGCTGTGAGGGACGGGGCTGACACACAGCCAGGTCAGGACACTCCGCGTGCGCGTGCACGTGCAGCAGCCAAATTAATAATATAGCGACAAGCGGGAGACAACGTGTGACTTACTCGCGGGGAATTTAAAGCGAAATGGAATTGGTTACAAAACCTAACTACACATCTCGATTCTCCGGTGGCAGTATTTTTGGATTCAAGCCAAATCAACGAGGCGAACCTACGGACTTGAATGAGCCGGGCGGTGTGTCGCATTTGTTTAAAAAAGGTAGCAACAAAGCAGGCAATACCACGCATTTTAAACTACACCTAAAACACAACCACCCCATTCCGTTTCCCAGCTGGTAGCAAACACGGCAGCTGGAGATGGAGAGCCCCCACCTTCCCGACAGTTTACAATCAAAGATGCATTTGCCCGACAATGCAAACATGTTGGTGTTCCTTGCTCGAAAACTTTGAAAAACAGATTTGGATATGGCCTGTTGAGGCATCTGGGTCTTTGTATGGACAGTGGACTGTACACTTGACTGTTGTTTTAAGGAGGGTTTTTTTGCTTGTGAGACAATGTGTGCTCATATTTATATATATATATATTTATATTTATATATATATATATATATATATATATATATATATATTTATATATTTATATATTTATAGATAGATAGATAGAGAGCTCTGTTTTCCAGCCTGAGTCTATTTAATTGATTGTTTTGGTTGTGTGTGATTTAATTAATTTATTATAATTTAATTAATTTGTTTTATTTATTATATATCATTTATATATTTTAATATTATTTCACATTTCATTTGCAATGTTGAATGTTCAATAAAAAGTTATGTTTGAAAGGATGTATGTAACACATGCACCAAATATGAATGCTGAGCACAGAATTATTTATACGAATCAGTTTCGATCAACTCTCTCTAATATAAATGTAGAAATTTCAGTGTGGACCAGCACATCAGAAGTCTAGGTTGCTCAGGAGAAAATGGATACTGTGCAACAAAGGTGAAAAGACACAAAGCAGACGTTGTTTGGAAAAGGTACAGAAAGCTATAATATTTATTCCCTTTCTTTCAGATAAACATTTTAAAGACATATATATATTCAGTTACCTTGAATTTGAGAGTATCCTGGTTTTAATTATTTGTACCTATTTATTTTATAACTATTTGGCATCATTTAGTGTTGTTACTTCTGTTTTAATTATCCCTATTTAATATAAACTAATGGTTTTATTTAAATGTAGTAGCTAAGCTATATATTCTAATTTTGGGAACCAGGACTCTGTATTTGAAATGTTATTTCAGATTCTTAAATAAAATGAAAGAAAACTTATCACATTACTTCTATACACATATAGTTATAACATATTCAACATAGTATCACACAATCAATAATCAAATCAGTTCTTGGCTCTCAACTTGTGAAGAGGAAAAGATACACAAGTTTCTTGTCCTACTATCGTGGTGGGTAACTGTAATAGTTCTCTTCTTTTAGATAGGTCGATGGGTAGCTCGCCAGACTGAAATTCGCCACAGTACACCAGCAGAGATGAGGGCAGCGTTCCAGTCAAAGAATCCAGAAAATCTCCTTCACATCACACAAAAAAAAGACCCGACCTGTAGGGATGGGTACCGAGCCCCGGTATTAAACGGGCCCCGGGGCTGAATTATTAAAGACCGTAGGTACCGTTAAGCTCCGACGTTATCGGTCTTTTTATCGGTACTGGAGACATCTAAAAAATATGTCATGTATATTATTGCTACACAAACATTATATTGCAGTTTTAGTGTCGCCAACTCCGTTTCTAATACGCAAAAAGACTGCAAAATGCGTCATTTTTAGTATTTTCGATCTCTCCAATCCAGACGAGAGATCTCTCTCCCCCGCCTGCTTGCGAGGGGGCGGGGCAGTTTACACACACGCAGCTGCTACATGCAGCAACACACACACACACACACACGGAGGAGATGGCGGAGAGAACGCGCTCCGAGGTGTGGTTAAACTTTACCCGTCTCGCTCGTTGCCTAAAGTGCAATAAGAGTTTAGCATGTCAGGCGGTAACACGAGCAATTTGTCTAAACATCTTGCAAAAGTGCACCACGTTCAGACGGAGAAATGCACCGGGTTCGACTGTCTCTCTAGTAGCTCTGTAGCCCCATCCACGAGTAACGTTTCCACGTCAGGTGTTATGTATGCTAGCAGCAACACACGGAGCTAACTCAATGATTCAAACATGGGTTTATGATTAGAGGGAACTGAGTTATTTAGTTTGTTAAAGTTTCAGCCATTCTGTTCACAGTTCTGTCATCAGATTATTTAATATGATTTGTTAAAACGTTGTTGTTTCTGTTGATGTGAAATATTATGTATTTCATTTAAATAAAAAGCAATGTTAGTTTTGTTCACAATTTGTTAATTTTCATTTAATTGTTTATTTGAATAGGGACAATGCACATTAATGAACACTTTAGACAAATAATGCTTCAAGTAGGGTGACCAGGTGCCAGAAAGCCACAAGTGGGACAGAGAGTATGTTTGTGTGGGACAATGTGGGACATGTAAATGTAATGTTGACGCATGAACTGTCAACGGGGGGGGGTACACTGTGGACCTCTGTCGCCTGTCAGCGCAACTTACATAATGCCGTTTAAAACATATCATAATGGGCGGTGCCGGCCGTCAGCGAACCGAGCCGGCCTTTCTCCGCAGAAAAGCGTTTTGGCCAATCAAAATGAAATATGCGGGACATCGTCTCAATTTGCGGGACGCACCAAAAGTCGTGAAAATGCTGTGCAGTCCCGCGCAAAGCGGGACATCTGGTCACCCTAGCTTCAAGTGTAAATATGCCGGATTTTAGCTTTGAGCTAATTTCCATCCGTCGTCCCTGACATACAAACATATAGTTAGTTTACCTCATTTTTCTCTCCAAAAGAACCGATAAGAGTACCGTTAAAAGACCGGACCGATAAGCGGTATCGATAAAAGTAGTAGTACCGTTAAAACCTTAACGATACCCATCCCTACCGACCTGACAACAAGGCCAAGAGTCAAATGAATGCTTATACAATGGTTTAAATGCAAATTGAAACAGCACTTCTCTGTATATTAATCAAATCAACAAAATACACTGCACATGTTCCTAAAATCCTATTAAACAAACAATTCTAAATACAACAATTATCAGTCAGCTTATTTAACACATCTGTCACACATGTTATTATTTTAACAAAGTGTACTAAACTCATTTTCGGCCAACCTATAACCAGCCACAGTTAGCTCAACTTTGCTCATATTCCACAACAATTAACAGACTAAGCTGTGGTCAATGCCCCTTCAATGTGCCACAACTGGCGGCAAAGCAACGTGAAGACCACCGCCAAAACCACAGACAATAGAGCGGTGCAGTGACTTCACATCCCTCCGCCCCGCACACATTAAAGCAACACGGATACACGCTAGGCTAACGCGTTAGCAACGGTTAGCCGCGGCTAATTTAGCATCGATAATTTCATTAAAATACATATTTAACATCCGTATTTTCTCATGCAACTCACCAAGGGTATCATATAAGAGGCAATGCTCTTGGGGGAAAGTAGAAAAGTCGGTCAATCTAAATGAAAAGTTGTTAAAATAACTACAATTAAAATCTATAGAGCTAATGCTGCTGAGTCATTATCCCAAAAGGATAAACAGCCATCTCACTTCCTGTTAGACAGCAGACACGGGGCGGGTCTAAACTTTGATTGGCTTAGCCTTGCTTTACAACCACTTTAGATGGACAGGGGATTTATCTAATCACACTCATTTAAATGTTTTCATGAAGAATTGTCTAAATCATTTTGTCCTAAATTGCATATTGTGTATCTATATTGTTTCTATTTTAGTTTCAAATAATTTATATTATTTGTGTATGTAGTGCTAAGCATTAAAATAAAGTTGACATTTTAGTCAATGTTATTTCTCAGTGTCTTAGTAACCGGGGGTTACATGTACTTTAATTATTATTATATATTATCATTATGTCAGTGGTCTAAAATGGTCTTACAACAGTGCCGACAATATTATCGTTTATCGCAATAACTTCCAGGAAAATGTATCGTCCAACAAATTAATTATCGTGACAGGCCTAGGTACAATAACACAGCAATACAGATGTTTTATCTTAAATAATTGTCCCAGGTTGAGGGTCTCTGCTTAAAATATACATATAGTCTGTCCCACGTGCACATAGGTTAAATTGGGCCTATAAACAATAGTGACATGTCACAATAACATATTACAATATTTACATCAGTCATTTCACATGGAAAGTGTTATACTTACAATAAACAATTGTCCCTCTCGCCGAAGGGCCTTCACCTCCTCATCATCATCATTTAAGGAACCTGCCGCCAGCTCTTCCACCCCGAGCAGCTGATCACCGGTAAGGAGGACGCAGCCAACAACTACGCCCCACCTACGCCAACCTCAACAGGCTGATTGGACAGATCGTCTCCTCCATCACCGCCTACAGCATACAGACATAAATAAACCAGCGACTGTATTCGCCATGACACAGACAGTCTGTGGTTTGTACTTGTTTAACTTTTGTCCAGTTTCTGAACAGATATGAGGAGCTGTGAGCTCTGTGTGCTAACTGCTAACAGCTAACGGCTGATGTTTTCTGGTTGAACGTCAGTGACGGCAGGCTGAGATCCTCACCGCTGATTGGCTTCCGCGAGAACGCGTCACGTGAATTTGACGCTCGAGTTGAAAAAATTGAACTCTCGCGTTTGACGCGGCACCGTTCAATCGCCTCAATCGCGCCGCGTCCACCGCTTCATGCTCGCCGTCGGAGCGAATTCGCGTCTGTCCGCGTCTCTGACGTCCACCCCCCCAATTCAAACATGTTCATACAATACTGAATACATTTGAAGCCATTTTGACGTATATTACCCATGTCAATAAGTTTCTGTTTTTGTAGTGTATTTGTCTGTTGTAGAGATTTTTCATTTATATATAAAATCTCGCCTAGGGCAACAAATTGGCTAGAACTGGCCTTGGTACTAGGCCTCAAGAGCCTTTCTTGTGCTGGCAGACACATAGAAACAAATTGACGGGGCGCACTTCGCACGTGCACACAAAAAAAAATCCACGCGCTCCGCGCTCACATTATGCTGGGCCCACGTGCCTTAGCACCGCTGCTATGACTCCATCCTAGGGGAAACACTGCTTCTAACATAAGATACCTTCGAGTCATATATTGAGGACTGCTTTAATTAAATAACATGTTAATTTTTGAAAACGAAAAGACGATTGGGATAGTCCAGCCAAAACAACAGTCAATGTAACACTACAATCAGGGTTCCTGCAGGTTTCGCCAACTCAAATTTAAGACTTTTTAAGACCACTTTGAATAGAATTTAAGACCTATTTCACGGCAAGAAAGTATGAAGGAAAATTGCTATGGAAGAAGAAATACGTCCCATAATTACTTACTAAGTAAATTAATGTTCAACATAAGAACAATGACTGAACATAACAGCACAGAACTGTGTTAGACAAAAAGTGTGTGTGTGTGTGTGTGTGTGTGTGTGTGTGAGTGAGTGAGACAAGAACTATATTCAGAGCTCTGCTGCCTTGGCTACAATCTTTCATTGTTGCTGTTGTATGATTGGTGTTTAACTACGGTATTTAGGGTTGACGTCGCCCGGAGGTCCCCCGGTGTTGTTGCTGCACTAGCTAACGCTCCACTAACTAATGCTACATTAGCAAAACAAACGCTAATCTTTTTTGCAAAAGGTGCAGCGGGCTTCAAAAGCGTTCCCCTCCACTGGTTTCAACCAAGCACTAAATTCGATGTTTTCCAACCAAATACGGTTGAACTTACACTTCCCCATATTTATTTGTAAGTAGATTGGAAGATACATGAGTTTCTGACTGCCGCTAGCTGAAGCTTGGTTGCTTGGTTGCTAGGTTACTAGCTGGGTGTTCTCCGATAAGGGGCCGGGGGAAACAAAGTTAGTGATTACTGGTTCGATGTTGATTTATTTCAATACAAATTGTTGGGTGGAACTGAAAGGCTATTACCGTACTGGTTACTTTGCAGCCCGGACATTTCCCCCAAAACACATTTAACGCTATCGCAACACAGAAGTACCTTTCAAATCCGATCATTTTTAAGACCTTCTAAATCATATTTAAGACCTTTCTTATTTTTTTGGTCATATTTAAGACCTTTTTATGGCCTTAAATTCAGATGATCAAATGTAAGACTTTTTAAGACTTGTTAAGACCCCGCGGGAACCCTGTACAATAGTTGAACATAACAATAGAATCACAATCAAACACTTGAGACTTGAACAACAAATACTTACCATCCTGTTCAAAGGACCCCGTGGCCTGCAGCACCTCAATGAGCTGCAAGGCCTCCTCCAGCTTCGTATTGAGGACTTTATTAACCTCCTTTTCTCTGGCGGCCTTCTGTTGGAAAACACGCCGCAGCCTCACCTGTCGCACCAGGAAGTCCAAGCAGCGCCACAAGACCCGGACGCCGTGGGAGTTGAGGTCCCGGCGCGGGAGGGCTTCATCCAGGATTGAATACTGCAAATGAAAAATAACAAATGTACATCTAAATCATAAAACAACATGAACAAGCATTTAGCTTAGTGAATCTTGGGATAATGCACATGCTGCATTTATTGCAGATACGGCACTTCAAACCCAAGTTCTGGAAATGTGAGCAAAAGGTTTGAATTGTATCAATATGGCAGCCTGTCTTGGCCCAGGTATGAATTAAGTAATTTATTAATCAATTCATTGCTGTAAGGAATAATGCAAAACACTTTTACCAGGTACAATTAGGCCTGTCGCGATAATCGATAAATTGACTTATCGTACGATAAATAAAATGGACTCGATAACTATTCTGAGCTCGATAAATTGCCGTTTACATAAGGATGTGACCAGCATTTTAGCTAGGAGCGCTGTGGCTGCCGACCAGGCGCGCTGTGAGGGACGGGGCTGACACACAGCCAGGTCAGGACACTCCGCGTGCGCGTGCACGTGCAGCAGCCAAATTAATAATATAGCGACAAGCGGGAGACAACGTGTGACTTACTCGCGGGGAATTTAAAGCGAAATGGAATTGGTTACAAAACCTAACTACACATCTCGATTCTCCGGTGGCAGTATTTTTGGATTCAAGCCAAATCAACGAGGCGAACCTACGGACTTGAATGAGCCGGGCGGTGTGTCGCATTTGTTTAAAAAAAGGTAGCAACAAAAGCAGGCAATACCACGCATTTTAAACTACACCTAAAACACAACCACCCCATTCCGTTTTCCCAGCTGGTAGCAAACACGGCAGCTGGAGATGGAGAGCCCCCACCTTCCCGACAGTTTACAATCAAAGATGCATTTGCCCGACAATGCAAACATGTTGGTGTTCCTTGCTCGAAAACTTTGAAAAACAGATTTGGATATGGCCTGTTGAGGCATCTGGGTCTTTGTATGGACAGTGGACTGTACACTTGACTGTTGTTTTAAGGAGGTTTTTTTTGCTTGTGAGACAATGTGTGCTCATATTTATATTTATTTATTTATATATATATATATATATATATATATATATATATATATATATATATATATATATATATATATATATATATATATAATATATATATATATATATATATATATATATATATATATATATATATATATAATATATATATATAGATAGATAGAGAGCTCTGTTTTCCAGCCTGAGTCTATTTAATTGAATTGTTTTTGGTTGTGTGTGATTTAATTAATTTATTATAATTTAATTAATTTGTTTTATTTATTATATATCATTTATATATTTTAATATTATTTCACATTTCATTTGCAATGTTGAATGTTCAATAAAAAGTTATGTTTGAAAGGATGTATGTAACACATGCACCAAATATGAATGCTGAGCACAGAATTATTTATACGAATCAGTTTCGATCAAACCTCTCTAATATAAATGTAGAAATTTCAGTGTGGACCAGCACATCAGAAGTCTAGGTTGCTCAGGAGAAAATGGATACTGTGCAACAAAGGTGAAAAGACACAAAGCAGACGTTGTTTGGAAAAGGTACAGAAAGCTATAATATTTATTCCCTTTCTTTCAGATAAACATTTTAAAGACATATATATATTCAGTTACCTTGAATTTGAGAGTATCCTGGTTTTAATTATTTGTACCTATTTATTTTATAACTATTTTGGCATCATTTAGTGTTGTTACTTCTGTTTTAATTATCCCTATTTAATATAAACTAATGGTTTTATTTAAATGTAGTAGCTAAGCTATATATTCTAATTTTGGGAACCAGGACTCTGTATTTGAAATGTTATTTCAGATTCTTAAATAAAATGAAAGAAAACTTATCACATTACTTCTATACACATATAGTTATAACATATTCAACATAGTATCACACAATCAATAATCAAATCAGTTCTTGGCTCTCAACTTGTGAAGAGGAAAAGATACACAAGTTCTTGTCCTACTATCGTGGTGGGTAACTGTAATAGTTCTCTTCTTTTAGATAGGTCGATGGGTAGCTCGCCAGACTGAAATTCGCCACAGTACACCAGCAGAGATGAGGGCAGCGTTCCAGTCAAAGAATCCAGAAAATCTCCTTCACATCACACAAAAAAAAGACCCGACCTGTAGGGATGGGTACCGAGCCCCGGTATTAAACGGGCCCCGGGGCTGAATTATTAAAGACCGTGGTACCGTTAAGCTCCGACGTTATCTGTCTTTTTATCGGTACTGGAGACATCTAAAAAATATGTCATGTGTATTATTGCTACACAAACATTATATTGCAGTTTTAGTGTCGCCAACTCCGTTTCTAATACGCAAAAAGACTGCAAAATGCGTCATTTTTAGTATTTTCGATCTCTCCAATCCAGACGAGAGATCTCTCTCCCCCGCCTGCTTGCGAGGGGGCGGGGCAGTTTACACACACGCAGCTGCTACATGCAGCAACACACACACACACACACGGAGGAGATGGCGGAGAGAACGCGCTCCGAGGTGTGGTTAAACTTTACCCGTCTCGCTCGTTGCCTAAAGTGCAATAAGAGTTTAGCATGTCAGGGCGGTAACACGAGCAATTTGTCTAAACATCTTGCAAAAGTGCACCACGTTCAGACGGAGAAATGCACCGGGTTCGACTGTCTCTCTAGTAGCTCTGTAGCCCCATCCACGAGTAACGTTTCCACGTCAGGTGTTATGTATGCTAGCAGCAACACACGGAGCTAACTCAATGATTCAAACATGGGTTAATGATTAGAGGGAACTGAGTTATTTAGTTTGTTAAAGTTTCAGCCATTCTGTTCACAGTTCTGTCATCAGATTATTTAATATGATTTGTTAAAACGTTGTTGTTTCTGTTGATGTGAAATATTATGTATTTCATTTAAATAAAAAGCAATGTTAGTTTTGTTCACAATTTGTTAATTTTCATTTAATTGTTTATTTGAATAGGGACAATGCACATTAATGAACACTTTAGACAAATAATGCTTCAAGTAGGGTGACCAGGTGCCAGAAAGCCACAAGTGGGACAGAGAGTATGTTTGTGTGGGACAATGTGGGACATGTAAATGTAATGTTGACGCATGAACTGTCAACGGGCGGGGTACACTGTGGACCTCTGTCGCCTGTCAGCGCAACTTACATAATGCCGTTTAAAACATATCATAATGGGCGGTGCCGGCCGTCAGCGAACCGAGCCGGCCTTTCTCCGCAGAAAAGCGTTTTGGCCAATCAAAATGAAATATGCGGGACATCGTCTCAATTTGCGGGACGCACCAAAAGTCGTGAAAATGCTGTGCAGTCCCGCGCAAAGCGGGACATCTGGTCACCCTAGCTTCAAGTGTAAATATGCCGGATTTTAGCTTTGAGCTAATTTCCATCCGTCGTCCCTGACATACAACATATAGTTAGTTTACCTCATTTTTCTCTCCAAAAGAACCGATAAGAGTACCGTTAAAAGACCGGACCGATAAGCGGTATCGATAAAAGTAGTAGTACCGTTAAAACCTTAACGATACCCATCCCTACCGACCTGACAACAAGGCCAAGAGTCAAATGAATGCTTATACAATGGTTTAAATGCAAATTGAAACAGCACTTCGCTGTATATTAATCAAATCAACAAAATACACTGCACATGTTCCTAAAATCCTATTAAACAAACAATTCTAAATACAACAATTATCAGTCAGCTTATTTAACACATCTGTCACACATGTTATTATTTTAACAAAGTGTACTAAACTCATTTTCGGCCAACCTATAACCAGCCACAGTTAGCTCAACTTTGCTCATATTCCACAACAATTAACAGACTAAGCTGTGGTCAATGCCCCTTCAATGTGCCACAACTGGCGGCAAAGCAACGTGAAGACCACCGCCAAAACCACAGACAATAGAGCGGTGCAGTGACTTCACATCCCTCCGCCCCGCACACATTAAAGCAACACGGATACACGCTAGGCTAACGCGTTAGCAACGGTTAGCCGCGGCTAATTTAGCATCGATAATTTCATTAAAATACATATTTAACATCCGTATTTTCTCATGCAACTCACCAAGGGTATCATATAAGAGGCAATGCTCTTGGGGGAAAGTAGAAAAGTCGGTCAATCTAAGTGAAAAGTTGTTAAAATAACTACAATTAAAATCTATAGAGCTAATGCTAACATAACAGCACAGAACTGTGTTAGACAACAAGTGTGTGTGTGTGTGTGTGTGTGTGTGTGTGTGTGTGTGTGTGTGTGTGTGTGTGTGTGTGTGTGTGTGTGTGTGTGTGTGTGTGTGTGTGTGTGTGTGTGTGTGTGTGTGTGTGTGTGTGTGTGTGTGTGTGTGTGTGACAAGAGCTATATTCAGAGCTCTGCTGCCTTGGCTACAATCTTTCATTGTTGCTGTTGTATGATTGGTGTTTAACTACGGTATTTAGGGTTGACGTCGCCCGGAGGTCCCCCGGTGTTGTTGCTGCACTAGCTAACGCTGCACTAACTAACGGTACATTAGCAAAACAAACGCTAATCTTTTTTGCAAAAGGTGCAGCGGGCTTCAAAAGCGTTCCCCTCCACTGGTTTCAACCAAGCACTAAATTCGATGTTTTCCAACCAAATACGGTTGAACTTACACTTCCCCATATTTATTTGTAAGTAGATTGGAAGATACATGAGTTTCTGACTGCCGCTAGCTGAAGCTTGGTTGCTAGGTTACTAGCTGGGTGTTCTCCGATAAGGGGCCGGGGGAAACAAAGTTAGTGATCACTGGTTCGATGTTGATTTATTTCAATACAAATTGTTGGGTGGAACTGAAAGGCTATTACCGTACTGGTTACTTTGCAGCCCGGACATTTCCCCCAAAACACATTTAACGCTATCGCAACACAGAAGTACCTTTCAAATCCGATCATTTTTAAGACCTTTCTTATTTTTTTGGTCATATTTAAGACCTTTTTATGGCCTTAAATTCAGATGATCAAATGTAAGACTTTTTAAGACTTGTTAAGACCCCGCGGGAACCCTGTACAAT